TTCTCTGTTGCAGCTCCGACACTATGGAACAATCTCCCCGTGGAGATTCGTACCCTCACCACCGTCCAAGGCTTCCGCACCACCCTCAAGAACTGGCTAGCCCGTCAGGCCTGGGGATAATCTTATTTTCGCCCCTCCCGAATGCTGAGTGAATGTTGAGTTTTACTGTCTAATTTACTTTGTGCACATCTCTTTTTGGTATTGTCCTACACTCCCCTTCCCTTTCTTGATTGTAAGCCGCCCTGAGTCCCCTCAGGGAAAAGGGCGGCCTATAAATAAACAAATCTAAATCTAAATCTAAATCTTGTATCTTTTTCCTGCAGGAGGCGCTGGTGCTAGACAGTGAAATTTTTACAGCGCTCCTCCATCGCGTGTGTCCGAAGGCCTTTAAGCACTTGCAGAAGCATGGGGTGGGGCCTTTGATGTACATGCCTGAGTGGTTCCTGTGCCTCTTTGCCCGCACGCTGCCCTTCCCCACGGTGTTGAGGGTCTGGGATGCCTTCCTGAGTGAGGGTGAGTGAAGACAATGAGCTCTTGGGGATCTGTAAGTCCAAACTGAGACAAGAAGCAGAATCATATTGCAAAACTTCACAAGGCAACAACTGATGATATGAGGTGACTGGGAGAATAAATTGCTAGAGTCTAACCCAGGAGGAGCCAAACTTGGGAACTTTAAGACTTGTGGACTTCAACTCCTAGAATTCTGGGAGTTGAAGTCCACAAGTCTTAAAGTTCCCAAGTTTGGACAGCCCCGGTCTAACCCTACAGATGCAGGAGGCTAAATTGGAAAACAAGGATAGGAGAGTCGGCACAATCTTTCTTTTAGGGAGAGGCATCTTCTATGGATAAAGGAAGAGATTAAAATCTTTCTGAAGTAAATGTAAGAAGAAATAGGATATTGGATGGAGAAGGACAGGATGCAGGGATGGTCATGATTTGGAACCAAGATGGGCTATATTATGATGGACTCACTTAAGATTTTCTGAAAGAGCAAAGTAGAGATGTTGCTGAGTAGGCAGAGCTTTGCTCTTCTGTTTTCACAGAGCCAGGACATTCTGTTTTTTTTCTACCCTTTGGAATGGAGTTATTCCAAAATCACTAAGCCAGATCATGTCTGATAATTATTTAGATGAAGAACTACTACTAAAGAATCCCAGGGGTGTAAAACAGATAAAAGGAAGAGTTGAAAAAGCATTCAAGAAAAAGATACTAGCATATTGTAAGATATGCCGTATAATTGCCAAGTAAAACTCATGGAAAAACCCAAGAAGTCACCAAAAATCCAATGTTATGCAGGGACATTTTTGAGGTTTTTCTCATGTTTATGTTATTTTAGGGCTTGTACTACATTTTTAAAACGTATGCGGATTTTCAGGAGCTATAGTTGAAAGACATGCTTGAAATCCTGAAAAAGATATTTTATCAAATTACTCATCCTTATTTTGGAGGGACAGTCATCCCCAGCCTTTTACAGATTCTGAGGCTGTAACTCCCAGAATTATCTGTGAGCATGAGCAAAGAATGGGAATTCTGGGAATTACAGTTCTAAATTAGCTGCATCACTCTGAGTAAGCAAGATAGCTTGGTGAATAAAGGACGATTTCAGTAAATTTATTCACTGGTTTTCTAATGTTGCTTCCCTGGAGCTCTTTGATTATCTAATTCTGCTTCCCTGGAGCTCTCAGATTATTCAGAAACAGATTATTCAGGATAAGCAATATTATTCAATGGAAGAGCATCCAGTTTGAATCCCAGCACTTCCATCCAAAAGGGCTAAGTAACATGAAAGATGTTGCTTGTCAGAATAGGCCTGGCCAGATGGATGGACAAAAGTGTACAAGAGTGCTTGCCACAAGCTCAACTGCTCTGCCCTGGCTTTCTCCCGCAGGAGTCAAGGTGTTGTTTCGTGTTGGTCTGCTGTTAGTCCGCTTAGCCCTGGGCTCCTCTGAAAAACTACGTGGCTGTCCAGGACTGGTGGAGACACTGGAGAAACTACGCAGCATCCCACCTCAGTTTCTGGAAGAAGACAGCTTCATGGCTGAGGTAAAGACTACAAAAACCTCATCTCTAGTGTAGCAGCTCCCTTTTGTGTTTCCTTCTAGCTGTAATCAACTATTTTTGGTGTGCAGGCCTGCGAGACCTGCAAAAGATGATTTCAGTAATAATTGGGAGATTTTGTGAAAGGGTAGAAACTCTCAAGTATTTGTCTCTGGTGTTTAAAAGTACACAAGGAAGGCATAACAGTGTGTCTGTGTGTAAAAAGTGGGATGTTAAAGGACAGAAAAGAATGTATGTTCCAAAGGTGCTTTCCCCAAAAGTAAAGTGACCAGATTTTAAAACTGGTTAAGCGGGACACCATTGACGGAGGGGGCGGGGGGCGGTGTGTTCTTGATTAAAATTTTTGCTGCCCGGCGCTGTGGCTGAGCTGAAGCTGCCAAAGCTCCCGCTGGCGCCCCCGCCCGTAGCAGTGGTGGTGCTCCCTCCCTCCCCCTCTGCTCGGAGCACCTGTGCTGGGCACCGTGTTATCCCTGCCGCCGCCTCCTCCTCCTCCACCATGCTTTTGGGAAGCCATGGGGCCTTTTTTTTCCTGCTCCCGCCCCCTCTGCCGCCTTCCTACTGACTCCCACAGCCTCATGGCTCCTCAAAAGCATGGTGGAGGAGGAGGGGGCAGGGGTAATGCGATGCCCAGCTCAGGTGCTCCGAGAGGAGGGGGAAGTGCCACTGCCACAGGCGGGGGTGCCAGTGGGAGCTTGGCGGCTTCACCTCAGCCGCAGCACCGGGTGGCAAAAGTTTTAATCAATAACACACACACACACACCCCATTCCATTCCCAGGCAGAAGAAAGAGACTCCGGGAAGGAGAGTTTGGCCAGTCATCGGAAGGTGTTTGAGAAGGAGAAAAGCAGGCAAGGAAACTTCTCAAGAAGTTCCAGAAGCAGCTGCTTCTCCTCTGGGCTAGAAGGAGGGGAGGAAAAGGAAGGAAGGAAGGGGAAAGGGAGGAAGGGAAGAAAAGGGCACCTTTTATTGTCCTCATCTTGTAAAAGCCCCGCAGGCTGCGACCCCAGGCTTGGCTCCTTCCCCGGGCACAGCCCACCTGCTCTGCCGGCCCCGCTTCCTTCCAAAGCAAAGCTCCCGGGTGCCGGCTGCGTCTTTGTTGGAAGGTGAGGCAGAGCCACCCCGATCGAAGCCGTTTCAAGCAGGGCCGCGGGGATCAGGGCAGCCATGCTGCCCGGGGAAGCCAGCGGGCTTGTTGCAATTGCTGTGGTGGGCTGCAATGCCCTACCTTCCACGGGGACCTCCGCTACAGGCGCATACGTGCAAAGCGCGAGGCCGAGCTGGGAGGGCCGTCGCACCAGGGCCGAGAGCACTCAGCCCGCCCCCCCATCTGCGTCCCCCTCCGGGGATGGAGCAGCCGTAGCCCGGCCACTGCGGGTGAAACAGCTGGGAGCCTCCAGGGCATTTGGAAAAGCTGGATGCGCCCCTGGGTAAAAACCTTTATTGCAAGTATTGCAAAGCCCATCTAAAAATCGGGATTTTTAAAAATGCTGCGAGACGCAGGACAAATTGTTCAAAAGCATGACTGTCGCGCTAAAAGCGGGACGTCTGGTCACCTTACCCAAAAGGCAATTGGACTTTCTTGGATTTTTTTTCCCTTGAAACTGTTTCACTTCTCATCCAAGACGTTTCTTCAGTTCTGACTGGAGGGGAATGGAAATATTATATTCTTTGCAGTTATCTGGTCATTAGCATTTTGAAGATCTGATAATCGGGAGGTTGCAAACTACAGTTTGCAATGGGAGCTCTAATTGATTTGCTGCTAGGCACCCAGAAATCTATCTGGCAGTCCCAATCTACCATACACACAAACCAGCTATAAGCCGGCAATATTCACCAATGTCCTTTCCTCATCTCTGTTGCAGAGGTGGGGAAATCTGAGTGCTGGGAGCTGCCCTTGGGTGATTAAGCAAAGGGGTAACATCATTCAAGTGCTAGGCTCCCATTCCATTGGTTTTGTTGTATTGTTGGGCTGTTTTTTTGTTATTCCTGGCGTGTTAAATTAAATGAAGCCTTATATACCCGTTTTTAATTATTTTGCTCCTCCAAATGAGAATTTCTTTCAGAGAATTTGCAGCCTAAATTGAGGAATGCCACTTATTGAAGCCATAAGAGCTTTAAAAGAAGGAATGTATGGCCACATATGGACCCCAATCAACAGGGTTCCCCCTACCTTTCTTGTCTTAGAAGTCCATTTACTGTAATAGAAGTAATTCTAAATTCATATTTTCCTCCTTGGGCCTCCTACCTAAATTTGTCCTTGTTGCTTTCTTCACCTTTGGTAGGTCCATGATGTGCCCATCTCAGAGAGTGACCTGGAACGTGAATGTAGAATCCAACTGGGGAAACTGCGCAAAACTCAGCCTACATTCCAGTACAACCCAAAGCAGCGCCTGTCTGGTGCAAAGGCCATTTTTGACGTTCAGCAGCTGGAGGATGCACAGAGCAATAAGACAGAGAAGGAAATTCATGCACATACTTTCCACATCCCACAAATCAAGGTAGACCCGCCCCCATCACCCCCAAGGGAGCAGAAGAGGGCCTCGGAGATGCACGCTCAGAAAAAAGAGCAGAAAAGGAAGAAGCCGGACACACGGGGAAAGACTTTCCATGCCTTTGAGCATCCCACGGGTAGAAGGGAGAGAAAGCTAGAACCAGAAGCTGCAAGGAGCAAGTCATCTTTTTACTTGGAGGCATGATTCTCACTCAGGGCAGAGAAGAGATGGAACTCTGAGAGAACAATCATGCAGCATTTTCTCATTGCCCTGCTCTGGTTAATGGATGAATTCAGAAGTTTCGACATAGCCTGAGTTGAAGGCAGTCTCGAATTTCTATGAAAAAATTAAATAAAATAGGCTGGGTTTCCTAATTTTAGGAGCTTCCTCTTTCTGAGGCCTTCATCTACAACCCTGCTTGAATTAAAATAAGATATAGATAATCCCATCCTACATATGTTTTGAGATGTAGAGCTATGAGTTATAGATATTTTGTGTGAGAGTGTGTGTAGAGATACGATTTAGCGAAGCTTAGTGAATTTCAAAGGGCAGAGCAAGTAGATTTCATTAAGTATCCTTCTTCCCATCACTCAGCTCCCATCCTCAGTAATTTTAACATAGTGTCAGAAGGAGACCTCTTGATAATTTGGAAATATGTTAGCTCTCCATTAACAGCTGCCTTAGACAGAAACTTTCTGCAGTTACAATGGTAATGAAAAAATAATTTTGTGAGAGCTTTTGCAGGTCCGTAAAGCAAACAAAAGCTGAAGTAAAATTGTAAAATTGTGATGTTTTACTTAGTGACTGCTTTGTTTAACGACCAGTTTGCTGGTCCCAATTCTGGTCACTTAACAAGGACTACTTCTTTGCTATATATTTTCATCTATTTTTGCTGTGGATGCTGTAACCTAAAGTCCAGGCCTGGCAATGAGGACAAAAAGAAGAGAAGTCATCTAAGATCTTGGATGAATGAAAACTAATTTGAAATACATTGTATTGCTCCAGGCTTTGAAATACAGTATTTGGCACTTTGATTCTAAGGGGGTAAAATTTATTGCACATGTATACGTAAAACAGATCTAATTCAGTAAAATTATAAAAAATGTGATTTTCCTATATCCATAAAAAAAACAGAAAATTGTTCTGATTCAGAGTTGCAAAGGGGAGTGGGGGGATTGTATAATTATTTGGTTCCAGGAAAAGATTGTTTTAAATTGAACAAACTGAAGAAAATAGAGAAAGGGTGAATCAATTAGTGGTTAAAAGACCTAATCATAATAATTACAATTTTTTATAAAATGTTCAATAACAAAGGTCCACATGGTCAGTATAAATAGTTATAAGGAGTTAATTGTTAAGTTTATCATTAAATCTCATTAGCATTTAGCAACAAAATGTGTAATTTTTATTTTATTTTTTAGAGTACAAAGACTCTTCAAAAACAGATACTGGTAACAAATTGACAACCTGGGCCCATTCTTTAAAATTATAGTAGTGACTTTCTTTTCAGTTATATACCAGTATCCTCTCTATTGTGCCTTCAATTTAATAGAACCAAAGTTCTTCATAAAACAGCCAATTCTATATTTTACAAATTCGACATCACACTGAGATCCTTAACTATTTCTTTCCAAGATTACATTAACATACATATTAATTTGAAACCCCCCAAAAGCAAGACAAGACAAAATCACATGAGTTAAAGAATGTTCAAATTTCTTACACACAACCAACCTAACAAGTCTTAATGCCCATCCTTTATTAAATGTTCTTCAATAGGTCCAGCAGACCTGTCATAATATTTTATGATTAATCAGTTTCATCTTTAAATTGTAAGAAATAAGAAGTATATTTCCCATTTTTTAATACCTGGACCCCTTGATTTTCCAAAACTGGATATTCTAATTTTTCATTCTATAGACCCAATATATAAATAATGCAAATTTCCCCTTCATTTTTTACTACCTTATGAAAATGAATTCTTGGTATACACTTGACTACAGCCTCTACCAATGAAGCTAAAATAGGAAGTATCTTAGAGGCTGGTAATTTTCAGGCCATGCTTTTAGTTAGCATATGTTTTACTTGAGAATATTGTCAAGAATATATTGAAGGCAAGCCAAACTCAAAAGATAATCTTTCAAAAATTTTAAAATAGCCATTGAGAATCAATTGATTTAAAACATTAAGCAATCATTTAGCCCAGGTATTCAAATAGTGTCTCTTCCTCGCTATTTTCAGATTTGACTTCTACCACATTAACTTATCATGTGATTTGAAGTCAAATCACAACTGCTTACCTATTAATAACCAAATATGCCTAGCAGCTTTCAAAGCTGGAAATGATCCTGATTTAATGTATCTTGATTCTAACACCTGGCAAGATTTCAGGGATATTACACATTTGCTTTCCAAATTAAAAAGGGAACTGAACTTAATATAGTCAATCTTTATTCCAGAAAAGCATAAATGTTAAGATAAAGGCTCAATAGTATAGTTGAAAATCTGCTAGGTTAATGCCATCATCTTCATAAAGATAACTTCAAGTTTCCCAAGTGTATTCTTGAGACTAAGAGAAGAAACCAATTGTTTACCAACCTAATTAAAAATCAGACTGATGTGAAATCCATGGCTGAAGTAATCTGCAAGGCTTCCTCTCATGGGTTACAAAGAAAGCGATATGCAGGATATTCAATTTATTTGAATTAATGGTCTGGACTAAAGTAAACCTCCAAGGTGGTATTAAACGCTGAACTGAAAGTTGGGGAATGAGTATTGGGAAATAAAAGTCCTTCAAAGCTGCAAAGCCCCATCCATACGACTAAGTTGATCACAATTCCCAGATGGCTGATACTAATTTTATGAATTATAACAGAAGAGACCAATGTTCTGTAATCACTGAAACCTTCACTATCTGTGAGAAATGAGTGTGTGCAAGAGAGAGGTCAGTGGGAAGAGATATAGCTGCTCTAATTTTCCCTTCTTCTAGTGATTTAGGATTATTCCTCATCAGAATCTCATTTGAAGTCTTTCTTCTAACCCCAGGGACAGCAGGAAAAAAATTATGCCAGCACATTTTTCATTATTCACCACCAAACCTGATTCAGCTCAGTAACACACTGTTGCATATACAGAGATGTTCAGAAAAGTCAGGATGGCAGTTAAGGTCACACAAATGAAGCCCCACCCCTTTTTGTACACATGTCAATGTGGCAAAAGGATGATATTTCAGTCACATGTCATGATCATTATTTTGAGGTTTTTGACACCCTCTCAGGCCTCAGATATTTCTCATATTAAGGCCAGGGGGTAGTTTTCTCCTTGTATTCTCAGTTGTCTCAAGGGTGCTTTTTTCCTCAAAAGGCAACTGGACTATTTTTTCCTTGAGGAAGAAGAAAAAAATATGTTGCTTCTCATTCAAGAAGATTCATCAGTTCCGATGGTGAAGAGGGAGGGATGGAAGGATAGGTACTGACAGTTGAGATACATACTATTTAGAGCTGCAGTATGGAATAAATCAAAGAAAACAGTGGGGGCTCTGGCTCCCCCCCCCCTTCTCACTAGGTGTCACCAACAGGTTGGGCAAAACAACCAGAAATAACTCTTCCTAGCATGGACTGGCTGTGGAGAAGATAAATTTTGACAGTAGTGATATAATTATTTCAGAAAACCTGTTTTGGTTTTTCACAGGTGTGTGGAAAGGGAATCTGTAAGCAGTAATCAAAATGCATAAATAAATTTCAAGAGTTAATTTGTGTATAGTAGTTTAGCAAGACCAAATGCAGAAAATAGGTTTGAAAAGACTTTTGCAAAGTCTTTCAGCTGGCTGAAATTTGGTTGGACCAAATGTCAGCTTCACTAATGGCAAATGATTATCTATTGAGAATATATGTGCAAAGAAGGTCTTTGGAAGCAAGATAAAGTATGTCTGGGAGCAGCCATAAATCCAATAGCACTTGGATTGAAATTTATGGTCCTCCTAAGTGGTGGAACTCTTCTCTTCTGGATGATCTGAAAGGTATGAAAGCTGCAAGTAAGAGGCAACCCTCTTCTTTAGAGCCGAGGTGGCGCAGTGGTTAAATGCAGCACTGCAGGCTACTTCAGCTGACTGCAGTTCGGCTGTTCAAATCTCACCGGCTCAGGGTT